GTGTAAGATATTGTGGAGATTGTTTAAACACACAGTGACATGAAGTGAACATAAGCTGTAGGAAAAATAATGATAATAAACTTACTCAATACAGAGATGCCACGACCCTCAAATTTGTGAAAACACAATAGCAATAATACAAAGCCTAATAAGATGAGATTATATCTATAGTTTCTTTGATAAAACACCAGTCTTGTTACTTGTGGTCCTGTTCTGTGGTCATATTAATGTAATCACATTCTACCACTTGGCAGTTTATAATCACGAGAACTAAAACTGGCATAGACTGAGTTTAACCATGGAAGAGTTCACAGGGAGGATCCTGAGGATGTCCAGAGTCAAGGCAGATGAGGCTGTGAGGGCAGGAGCTGTGCAGCTCCAGAGCTCTGTGAGATAGGAGCCGAGGAGGCAGCTCCCTGGCACAGCCACTTCTTGATGTTTTGTGCTTTTGAATCAACTACAAGTCATAGCAATCCTTCAATGGCTCTGAATCGGCACAGCCACTAGACTCCCATTTCCCACAAAAGCCTTTGTCTGGGCCCTTGAGGTTCCTATCAACTACTGCTTGGGCAGTGGGAAAGGAGTACAGTGGACTGATTTGCTTGACATTATAACCACTCCAGACAGGGAGAAGAGTTCTCTAATATTAAAAAGATGTTCTGCTTTCATCTCTTAGGCATGTATAGCAAAATACTACCATTCCGGTAGCTTTAAAGATCAGAAATTGGTTATTCTCTTTTGTTTGGGAGAAAGTAGCTCTGGTGGTAAACTCTGCTATATATTGTGTTGCTCACCGAAAGGTCAGTGGTTCAAATCCATCAGCCACTCTGCAGGAGGCAGATGGGCAGTCTCCTTCTGTAAAGATTTACAGCCTCAGAGACCTTCTGGAGAGTTGCCATGAATTGGATCAATGGCATTATGTTTGGGTTTGGTTTTTTTTTTTGCTTAGAGAGCTTGCTAATCAGTACAAAGTTTCTTCTTAGAATAATGAAGATACTCTAATGTGATTGTGGTGATGTTGTTTTTGTTGTTAAGTGTCTTTGAGTCCAGTATGACTTACAGGAATCTTAAGAACAATAGTTCTGGCACTCTCTCCTATCCTGCACCATCCTTACCGTCCTTGACACTTTTGTATCCATTGTACATATACTGTTACAACCCATCTTGTTGAGAGTCTTCCTCTCCTTCACCAACTCTGCACCTTTGTAAGCGTGATAGCAGTTTCTAAAGAATAGTCTCTCCTAACAACATGTCCAAAATAAGTGAGATGAAGCTTTACCATCTTTGCTGCCAAGGAATATATTCTGGCTTCACTTTCTCCAAAACATACCTGTTTGTTTTTTTGGCAGTCCATAGGATATTTAGCCCTCCTCTCCATCACCACAACCCAAGTGCATTGATTCTTCTTCCGCCGTCCTTATTTATTGTCTGTCTCTCAGACAATCACCGTAGGTAATTGAAAAGACTATGGATTGAATCAAATTCACCTTAGTCTTTAAATTGACGTCACTGCTCGTCATGACTTTGGAGTGGTTCCTAGAGGTTCCTGTCTCCTGACAGCAGACTTTCCCAAATGGTATACATCTCTGATCTCTTGATGGTGATGCCAAGGGTGTTGACTATGGATCCAACCAAGATTGACAATTTCAATCTTTTCTCCATCTGTCATGATGTTCCCTATTGGTCCAGTGGTGAGGATTTTTGTTTTCTTGATGTTGAGATGCAGTCCATATCGAAGGCTGCAGTCCTTGAGCTGCAGCAAGTGCTTTACTAAACACTGTTGAATTATGCAATTTAAGTGAGTAAATGATACAGTATGTGAATGACGTCTCAATAAACATGGTACATAGTTCTCTGGATGAGCTCATGTTTTGTGCTCAACTCATTCAAAGCTCCTTACCTAGAAGTTGATGGTTTGAACCCACCCAAAGATACTGCAGAAGAAAGCCCTGGTGATCTACTTGTGTAAAGACTGACAAGATCTCATTGCCCTTGAGTGGAAACAGACTCATATCTGACCCATGTGGGTTTCCAAGACTGTACATGACAGTAGAGGTGATTGCCTACAGCTTTATCTCTCACACCTGCTTATGGATTCAAACTGTTCAAATCCCTCCCGGCGGTGCACTGTGGCTCGCCCTGTACAGACTACAGCCCAGAGCAGCCTGTCAAACAGTTCTATGCTGTAACTCCTGGTGTTGCCTTCAGTCTGAACTGACTCCACAGCAGTGGGTTTTGTTTTGGGGTTTACACAGTACATTTATTGCCTGGAGCCTTAAAGTACAAAGCAGCCATGTAGGCACGTTCTGAAGCTCTAAGAAAATCTGTCCTATGCCTCTCTGCTCCTGGCGGCTCCCCGCAATCCCTGGTGCTCCTTGGCTGAAAGATGTAGCTTCGCATGTTGTTACCAGTCACTCCCTTGTCTATATCTGTCCTTTTTTCTCTTTTATAAGCTGTAACTTATTAAACAATAACTTATTATTAAAACAAGCTTGGAAGTAGGAATGTCATCCACTTCTGAAATGGCTTGCCTCCAGAAACTTTATGAACACGGAGAAATGACTAAAGTTATACAAGTGTTCAGATCTTTTGTTTATAGGGTCGCTATGAGTCATTTACGACTCATTGGCACTTAACAACTATAAATAACAACGACAACATAGAGCTCTGTTGGCCTAGTGGACAGAAAGTCATGCTACCAGACCCAAGGTGGGTGATTTTAATCTGTGGCCCTCAGCCTGGTTTAAATTGTTTTTTTGGTCAAACATTCTTCTAAGTGGTATAGCACAGGTCTGTGCATTTGCTGTACAGACGTAACTCGTGGTTGTTGTGATGTTAAACACTGTGACACTGATGTGTCAAATGTGATAATGGTTACCCATGGTGGACAGTGTTTGGTGGAACTTCCCAATTAAAACAAACTTTGAAGCAGGAGTGGCATCCACTTCTGAAATAGCTTGCCTCCAGAAACTCTATGGACTTGGAAAAATGATGAAAGTTATAGAACTGTTCAGGTCTTTCATTCATAGGGTCGCTGTGAGTCGTCTCTGACTCAACGGCACTTAACAACACAATAACAAGCTTTAACTTAGATAGGGTTATTATGTACACTAGCACAGGTGGCCTAGTACTAAAAGAAGTTGTGCTGTACTTCTGAAGGCATGCAGTTTGAATCCACCAGCTGCTTCACGGGAGAATGATGGGCAATCTCCTCCAGTGTGATTAACCACCTCTGAAAACCCCTCTGAATGGTCAGCTATGGGTTTGTTCTGACTCGATGATACACAACAACAGCAATAACAACATGTCATCTTCCAAGACCCTATTTCTAAACAAGATCATGTTCCCAAGCAGTCAGGGTTGGGATTTCAAGCATATCTTTTTGGTGGACAGGATCTAACCTATAACAAGAACCTTCACAGAAAAGCCTGCCCCAGAATCTATCCCAGCCCTAACACCCCAGAGAGCATGGGACAGCCCTGCCCGAGGAGACTGGGTCCCTTCTGTACCTCAGAAAAATGATTTTAGAGTGCCTGCTTCCAGAGACTGTGCCAGCCCTCTGACCTAGAGGAATCCAAGTGCTCTCCGTACATTGTGAACCTGACTTTAGAATGCCCTTTTTGGACCCTGATTTTCAACGTGAGAGGCCAGTCTGTGCTTTCTTTGCTGTGCTGTGCTTTGCTTTGCCCTGTCTCTTATTTGTCTCCCTCGGACAGCTCTCATCCACCTTGCATAAGCCACACTAAGATTTGCAGATATGTAGACTGGCTGATATGTGTTTGTGGCTGCTGGATAGACTTTTCTAGAAAAGGACATCCTGTCTAATAAAGTAGGAGGCCGGTGAAAATGAGGGAAAGCTGGATAGACTTTTCTAGAAAAGGACATCCTGTCTAATAAAGTAGGAGGCCAGTGAAAATGAGGGAAACCCTCAGTGACATGGTACAATAGTCGCAGCAGTGAACTCAAGCATATCAGTTATGAGGAAGCAAAGGACAGGGCAGTATTTAGTTCTTTTACACATATGAGTGAAAGTCATGTCAATGGCAATTAAAACAACAGCAGCTATAGAGAATTATAATTGAACTAATCAGTCCATTGTTGTTGTTGTTGTTGTTATGTGCCATCGAGTCGTTTCCGACTCATAGCGACCCTATGCACAACAGCCCTAAACCCTGCTCTATCCTGCGCCAACCGCACCGCCTCTGACACACCCATCCCGATTACCCCAGTCACCAAATCAATCCATCTCATAGAGGGTCCTCCCCTCCTGCGCTGTCCCTCCACCCTCCCAAGCATGATGTCCCTCTCCAAGGACCCGTCCCTCCTGGCAACATGTCCAAAGTATGTCAGACGAAGCCCCAGAATCCTTGCCTCCAAGGAGTAGCTTGGTTTAATCCTCTCCAAGATGAATCTGTTTGTTTTCCTGGCAGTCCATGGTACATTCAGTACCCTTCTCCAGCACCACAGCTCAAAAGCATCCACTCTCCTTCTATCCTCCCTAGTCATTGTCCAACTCTCTGATGCATAACAAGCGATTGCAAATACCATGGCCTGTATCCGGCGCACCTTAGTCTCCAGAGAGACACTGTTGCTCCTGAGTACCTTAGAGAGGTCCCTAACAGCAGACTTTCCCATCACGATACGCTTTTTGATTTCCTGACTGCTGGTGCCAAGAGTGTTGACTGTGGAGCCGAGCAAACTGCAGCTCTGAACACTCTCAATCTCTTCGTCATCCATCCTGATGCTGCCAATTGGTCCAGTGGTGAGAATCTTTGTCTTCTTGACATTGAGCCTCAGTCCACACTGAAGGCTGCAGTCCTTGACCCTTCGCAGCAAATGCATGATGTCCTCCTCAGTTTCAGCAAGCAGGGTTGTGTCATCTGCATCAGTCCATTATGGCTTCTTAAATGTGCAGAGCTTTACAGCAAATTGCACTTTACAGAACACACTTTTATGATGTCTGCAGATTTGTAAGTCCTCATCTACCTGTATTTTTCCAGGGACCGCTGCTGCTTACCTTCAAAGAGGACCCTTTGCAGCCTCTGGAGCTGGCCGTGCAGAAAGTCACCAGTGTGGCCCGGTCTTCCCAGGAAAAGGTGAGTGACAGGTAGTGGGATTGCTCCCCTGTGACAGGCCTTTCTAGGCAGGAAGAAATGAATGGACCGCAGTGAAAAGCGGCATTTATTTGGACTTACAGTTCTTGGAAAAGGCAGAGACCTTCCATCGCTAAAAAATGCTGAGTCCATGAACTAATGAATGGATGACAGACACTTATTATATGACCTTAGAAAGGATGAAGTTACGATATGTACATTGCAGCGTGGATAGATCTTGGAAGGACTATGCTCTATGAAAGAAGTAAGACACGAATGGGCAAATAGTGTGTGATTTCTTTTATGTGAAATGATTGTCAAAAGGAAATGCCCAGGATAGGCCGATCTAGACACAGGCTCCACAGGGCTGGGGGGAAGGCGTGTTTGGGGGAGAAGTGGGAAGTGACTGTTAAGGAGTGACAAGGCTTCTTTCTGGAATGATGACATTGTTCTGAGAGTGATTGTGGTGACAGTTACCCAATTCCCTGACTATGTAGAGCACCACTGAATTATACAGCTTGATGGGAGGATAATCTGGTATGTGAATAATAGCACAGTGACATTTACCTAGGTATCTGTTGCTTAATATCCATAATCCATTCTGTGAATTAGGATGTTATGCGATTTAGACATTGAACAGACACTGTATTAAAACCTTGTGGGAGAGGAAGCTCTGGTGGCCTAGTGGCAAGTAGCTACACTGTAATCCTGAAGGCGAGCAGTTCTAATCCACCAGATGCTCCCCTGCAGAAGGAAGAGCAATCTCTTCCTGTGCTCGTCGGATCCGATTTGATGGTACATAA